AATGGGTTTAAGACTGAGAACTATGAAAGTACCCATTGTCTTTTGCCAGTTGGATGGGTCAGTTGTGGTGGTGGGGAGCCCATTTTGTAACCGAACCAGTGGAGATGTGGATGGGGGACCACCAAAGAATCCCTGAGTTTCATCATGGTGCCGGGCCTCTCATACTGGGATTACCTTGTCTGTGGAAATGGAACTCTGAAAGAGTATCGGGAAATCAAAGAAATTTGGTCCTAAATATGTGGGTCCTTTCCTCATTGTTAAAATTGTAAATCCTGTTACCGTGCAATTTGAATCGCCAAAAAATCTTAGGAGAATCCATCCCGTGTTCCATGTGAACTTACTGAAACTGGAACATACATCTTGAATGCGTTCACCTCAATCCCCACCTCCTTTCCCCTCCTTATTAAAGTGGCAGCTCCGCCCAGCCCAGAGGCCCGGAGCTGTCATTCAGGGGAGAAAACTGGGCCAGTTGCCAAGACTCACCAGATTTCCCTCCTCTACAAACAATCCAGCTGAGTAATCTACAAGGCTTTTGATAACTGAAAACAATTCATGATTAATTGCTGGGTGATTTTTGTTCTGGGTCACAAGGGGATGGGTGTGCACACACGTGGGGTGCAGTTTATCCTAATTACCAACTATAAAAGGTGGTGGGGAGCACCAGGTGGCAGCTCTGACACTAAGCACTAGGGCAATTTATTCATTGCCTTAGTGCTTTGTTGGTTAGTACCTGCTGGAGGAAGAAGATAAAAGTGCATTTTGAAACTGTTTCTGTGTTTGGCTGTTTTCATTCACCCTTCAGAATCTGACAGTTTTGTCAGAGCTTCCACTAGAGCTTCCACCAGAGCTCATACCATGGCTGAAGGTACAATGTTTGGGTTGGAGGCTGTGGGTTTGGAGGAATCTGCTGTGGCAACTGATACAACTGTGCTGGAGGCTGTGTCAGGGCCAGCATGAGAGGCACCACTGAATGTAAGGTCTAAGGACTACTCAGTGACATGGAAGCCTACAGCAGAACTTCTAGAGGCCGATGTGGCAGCCCATGCAGGAATGACAGGAGATTGGTGTCTGGGCTTGCTCAGGACCACAGAGACTTACCATCCCCTGCTCCCTGCTCACCCCTCCTGGAACCCATTTCACCCAAGGGCGTGAAAGCCACAGCTCAGACGATGATTGGGGATACATCACCGTAGTGGACAGCCAAACTCTACAGATTCTGCAGGAAAGGTTTGGGGCAATGGGCTTTTTAGATAATGGACGTGGCAGTGGTTGGAAAGATAGTGTGGCAGGGTTACTGGAACACGGATCCCAATAGCAATAGCAATAGCAATAGCAGTTAGACTTATATACCGCTTCATAGGGCTTTCAGCCCTCTCTAAGCAGTTTACAGAGTCAGCATATTGCCCCCAACAACAATCCGGGTCCTCATTTTACCCACCTCGGAAGGATGGAAGGCTGAGTCAACCCTGAGCCGGTGAGATTTGAACAGCCGAACTGCAGAACTGCAGTCAGCTGAAGTGGCCTGCAGTGCTGCATTTAACCACTGTGTCACCTCGGCTCTTATCCCAACAGGCAGGGGGAGTCGTTGGGCAGTCCAGCATAACCAATCCAGAATGGTATGGTGCCCAAGGGGCTGTAAGAGTAGGAGATCAGCAGCCCAAGCTAGGTTTACCCCAAGTTGCCCGGGGCACCTGCGGGAGACAAGTGGCGTGAGAGTGCTATGCACCTCACCCTCTCCTTACTCAGAGGGGGTTTCCAGCTGGTTATGGGCCCAGAGTGATGGGATGCTGAGACTCACTGGCAATACAGGCTATTTTGACGGTAGCCCAGGACAAGTGGCCCTCTTCTTAGGCCAGGTGTTAAATCACATGGATTGTTACGGCTATATGTATATGTTGCAGTGGGACATGGTGATGGTAGTGATGGACAGAGGCTGCTGACTGGGTGGCTGAACTGTATGGGAACCATGCTATGGAACTCGCAGACATTGGTCTGTTTATGATGGCAATTTCCGGAGAGATTTGAAGGTACCCTAGGATCCAGCGGGCAGAAGCGGAAGTGTTGGCTACAAAACAATAAGGGAAGCCAGTAACTGAATACATCAGAGAGTTCTGGCATCTGGCCAGGAAAGTGAGGATGTGGCCAGAGAGGTTGGTGGTGCATTACTTTAAGGCTGGTCTTGACCGAACACTATGCCGGGCCTGCATCTACAGAGGGTTGCCACCTAGACTGACTGCATGGTTCCAGGCCGCCACAGAATTAGCTATAGAGTTCCACAAGGTTAAGCCAGAAAATTCCATCCCCTTACAGTCTAGGGTGTTAGCCACTCAAAAGGCCCCACTGGCAGCAGACCTGTATGCCCAGGGGTAGGACCTCTCCAGAGCAATCAAAGCAGCACTCCCAAGAAAATCAAGAAAATCAAACTTTATTAACACAGCGAGAGGGCTTTGCCTGGAAGGCTTTGAAGTTATATGTACTAAGTGTGATACAAGTGGCCATGCTGCAGTGCTGCCACGACGTTTGCTCGGTTGGACATTTTGGGTTCCTCAAGACTCTCTATTTAGTAAATCACCAATTCTGGTGGCCCCACATGAAGAGGGAGATAGAGGAATATGTAAGGAGTTGTATTGTTTGCACTACTATGAAAGCCTGGCCTGACCGGTCTCCTGGTCTTTTACAGCAGGTGGCAGATCCGATTCGTCCATGGGAACAGATAGCCATGGACTTCATCGTGGATTTACCGGACAGCCAAGGGAACAAGGTCATTTGAACGATAATAGACCTTTCTCCAAGCAGGGTCATTTTGCAGCATGTACTGGCCTTCCATCTGCTAGGAAGCTGGCAAAACTGTTTATTGCCACTGTCTATAGACTCCATGGCATCCACAGAAGGATAATTTCAGACAGGAGAGTGCAATTCACTGCCTGGTTCTGGCGCAGATTCGTGGCAATGGTGGGGTCTTCACAGGGATTTAGTACAGCCTTCCACCCTGTGACCAATGGTGCTGCGGAGAGGGCAAACATGATGGTGGAGTGCTACTTAAGTTGTTACGTCCAGTACCAACAGACCGATTGGGTGGAACTCCTCCCCTTTGCAGAAGTTGCCTATAACAATACATTGCACAAAAGTATGGGGTTTACCCCATTTCATGTGGCTACAGAGCAGGAGTTCGTCCCAATTCCAGAGTGTCCTCAAGTGCGCCCAGATGATACTATCTCGCAGGAGTGGATAGCCCAGATGCAAAAAGTTTGGGAAGTGGTGAGGGATGCGTTATGTCACTCTTTTGCTACATATAAAAAGAGTGCCAATAAAAGACGGAAGGTGCAAGGACCTTTCCACGAGGGCCAGAGGGTGTACCTCTCCACTAAATATCTCAGGCTGCCCTTGCCATGTTAGAAACTCGGGCCCAAATTCATTGGGCCTTTCCCAATCGTGTAAGTTATTAACCCAGTCACAGTGCAGCTAAGACTCCCCTGTCTACTGGGGAAAACACATCCAGTCTTCCACTGCAGCCTTCTCCAATCAATTCAGGCATCTGATATCAGAGGAGAACAACATTTTGAGGTTAAGGAAATCCTGGATTCCAGGAAGCATAGGGGACGAATTCAATATTTGGTGGCCTGGAAACAAACTCCTAAACTCTTGCAAAAGTTCCATTCTAGATATCCTGATAAACCCTAGTTGTGGTATGTTTTGTTATTGTTGTTGTCTGTTTTATTTTTTTCTCCGGGGATGATGTCCTTTCTGCAGGAGGGCCGAATGTCAGGCTCTACTTTGCTTGCTTGCTATCGACTGCCATAGTAATGGGGAGGTTGGAGGCTTATGATATTTAGGAGGGGAATTGCAGGTTCTGGAGGAGATTCATGAAGGGAGTTTTGGTCTCACCATCTTCTGCACATGCTGATAGATTGTGTTTAGGTTTGGTCAAGGTCAACCGACTCTGCATACCAACAGAATGAGGCCCCTTGAAGATGCACTCCACATGACACCTTTGGATGTTGCAGATTGGACATTGGGTTGGGGTAATTGGGGGGAGGGCTCTGGGTAAACATTTGATATGTACACGTTTGCGCCTTTTTGTCTCAGATCTTGCTTTTCTTTAGCTGCTTTCATTTCATGTCTAGTAAGGTAGTAAAACTACCTTTATCTCTACTCAAATGGAGTTGGGGGTTTTCTTTCTTGGATACTGGCTGACACATATTAATAAAAAGAGTTTGGGATCGTAATTCCAGCATTTTAATATGCCTTCTTAATATCACTTCTTTTTGCTTTGAGAGTTCACATTTCTATTTATTTTTTAAAACAAATTTTCCCTTCTTAAATTCTCCAGTATTTTTTTCAAAATGCTTGCAACGCTGCTATGACAAATTGCTGTAAAATATATTCCCCTTGGATTTTTGGGGGTCAAGTTTCAGCAAAAAATATTCTATTACCCAGTTCATACACCATTCACCGTCTCTCCACTCTTGCACTGTTTTAGGTGTTCAGGCTTTTCCCAGCTTCATGGCAGCCATTTTTGCTACTGCTGCAGCTCTTCTTTGGATGAGGGGGCTTTCTGAGCCAGGGAGGGGAGATGTATCTCACCTCAACCTGCAAGGTGGTTTCCCTTTACTTCACCCCCCCTCCTCCAGTGTGGCTATGCCTCCAATTGGAGCCCTCCAATAGGGAGAGCTCGGAACAGGGCCACAGCTCACGGTCCTCGCTTATGAAGGCGCCGGAAGTACAACCAGACATCCTCTTCTTGGTATTTTTCTATGACTTGCACTGAATATATATGGCAATGATATGTGCAGATAAAAATACCTTCAAGCTTCAAAAAGCCCTCCTAAGCATACTTTGCTTCCAGACATAATTTTTAAATATACATGTAATTATATTGGAACAAAAGTAAATATAATTCAGATGATAAAAATGTCAGATAATCTAACATTGATAGATAACACAGTTCAAGTATCAATTTTAGTTTGTAAATATTTTGTTTATTATTATTTTTGTCTTAGGCCTTGATGACTGCCTGCAACAATATATCAAGAATTTTGAGCGGGAAAAGATTGGTGGAGACCAGTTACTACGTATTACTCATCAAGAACTGGAAGATCTGGGAGTTACTCGAATTGGTCATCAAGAGCTTATCCTGGAAGCAGTTGACTTACTCTGTGCATTGGTAAATATTTTGAGAATAAAAAAAAGGCTTCTGAAATGTATGAAAATTGTCTAATCAATGGGATTATGCAAAACTATTTCAAGGATTTTGAGTAATATTAATATATATAGTTTTAGTGATACAAAAATTGAATTGCAGTACAAAACATAGTTGAAAAGTCTTTTACTTTAAAATCAAAGTTAGCTTTTTTCAAAGAAAAAGTATTTTTATTGAACTAAAAATGATTATATTATTTGCAGAAATAATTTGTTTCCAAAAGGGGAAGCATTGTAAATCATACTTATCATACTTATTTTTTACAACACCAAGCAAAATGCCTTCTTCTCAAAACAAAAAACAGGGCACTGATGAATTCATACCTCATATTAAATGGTAGTTGTAATTATGATTTTGTGAATAAATTGCAGTGGGTGAATTACAAAGTATCCTAAGACAAAACCAAATCAAATTATAGCTTAGCTTTATGTGCAATTAGCATTTCACTGCCAATCCTGTTGGACATAGTTTCTGCGCATGCACATGTGTCAGCAAATGATTACCTGGAAAGTAGCCATACTGAATTTTTGAAAAGCTGTAAACTCCTCAGTACTTTAAAGAGGAGAGCTTCATTTGTGATATTACTGCAGCTGAAGCAACTGTCTGAATATTTTGAAAGGCACTCTAAAATAAGTATTTGCATGTGAACTGTCTGATTAATGAACCCAGAATAAGGAAACACTCCTGGGAGCTTTGAATTCCCAAAAGTAAAACATTATTGGATATACCATATTGGTACTGAAGAAACAAAACCAGCTCTGGTTTTAATATGCAAATGCTTCCCTAGATAAACAATAGCTTCCTCTTCTCCCCACCCCTGGGTGATCACATTGTCCAATTATGAGAAGTCCTTTTGTTATGGGAATAGTCTATTTCTTTCTCCAGCACCTGCAGTGGATTTTATTGCAAATGGGTCTTAGAATGATTAAGGAGAAGGTTTTCTAGGAAACATAAAGTTTTATAAAAAGAA